GCCGGGGAAGCAGGCGGCGGCGCGCGGGCTCGGGGGCCCGACCCGGGCTCGGGCGGGCCGGCGGCGAGCGGTGGCGCTGCCACGTGGCGGACTCCAATTGGTGCGGGCGCGGCGGTGATTTTCGTCTGGTGGGATCCGGACGTGTCCGGCAGCGGAGAGGGGCTAGGCTAGGGTTTCATCTACGCGAATTTTCGGGGAGGGGCACATATTTATAGCTAGGAGGAGGTAGGAGTGTCCAAATGGAGTGCGGTTTTCGACCACGCGGTCATGATCCAACGACGAAGGACATGGGAGTGCTTTGGAAGGGTTATCGTGCCGTTTTGCAGGGGTGTTGGGCTGCAACACACACGAGACCTTGGCGGTTCCCCGGTTAACCGTTGAAGTATCAAACGGACTCTAAATGACATGAAATTTGACAGGCGGTCTATCAGTGGTGTACCAAGGCCGTTTGGCAAATCTCGGTCCATTCCGAGAATTTTTAACACCCGCTCACGAAAAGAGACAAAAGGGGACACCGGTGCACATAGGAGTGTCGGATTGCAAAATGGACAACGGGGAAAATACTCGGATGCATGAGACGAATACGTATGCAAAATGAGATGCACATGATGACATGATATGAAATGCATGACATGAACAAAATGCAAAACGAAGACAAGAACCCAACCACGAAGGGAATCTCATAACTTAAGCCAAAAATGGCATAGTCGGAGTTACAAATATGGCAAATTACATCTGGGGTGTTACACCCGGTGTCGGGCCGGCCTCAAGGCCCAGTGGACCTGGCGGCGGCTCAACTCTAGGAGCCAGTTCAGGGGCCTGACTCGGAGCGGGAAGACCATCTTGATGTGAAAGCCAAGAAGCCCTTGCACATGAGATCAACTAGGAGGCATGTAAACTCTAGCTCTCGTCCCCTTTATAAGGTGAGGACGGGGTAGCTTATGACATCTATTCAATTAGACAGAACTCTCGGTAGTCATCATCATCATCTTGTAACCCCCTCGCATGAGGTGCTCCCACATCAATAAAAAACAAAGCGGGGCGTAGAGTATTACTTCATCATGAGGGTCTGAACCTGCGTAAACCCCACATGTGAACTCCCCTCTGTCACTTCCGACTACGCTCGCTACCCTACCGATGGATCTGGCGGTTTTCTACACGGTCAAAGCTTCTCGTGTCTTTTCATGTTGATAAAATTCCCACTTTTAAAGGTTTCATGCTAGCTTGCATCAGAGTTTTGCATTATACACCTGAAAGAAAACTAACTTATCATGAAGATTTTATGGCGTCGGAGATAAAGAAAATGCACTTCCAAATATATGTGTTGTTGACATGAAATCTGAATATTCTTACTTTTTTGTAGCGAATGCTACTGAACATGTTAAGAGGGGTCATTTACTGATTCAGCTTGTTGGACCAGGACAAGAATATGTTGTTTATTATGTCAGCATGGATGGTGTTGCTAGATGTTCGCATCAACGACGTGTGTTAGAGCATCCAAATAATATGTGGCGATAGTGTTGTAAGCATGTATATTATGGTGGTTCTACATAACTATTTTCTTACGGCCCAATAAATTGTTTGGGCCTTTTGGTCTTTTGATTGTTGATGAACATGTCTTGGTGAGATGTTGCATCATAGCCATTTTGTTGCACTCAAATCTTTGATTGTGTGAGTCTTACACTCGGCTAAAGATCAATGGCTTTGTGCTTGCTTCTCGATGTTGGATAATATTCTTAGGGATTGATCCATTAGAAAGAGTGAAGTTTAAAGATGACCGCAAACAAAGTTGATGGTTGCACCTTTGTTTTGTTTTGGCCGCCCTTGAAGCGAACATATTTTCCCTTGTAATGAAATACATTTAGTCATGATGCATGGTTTAAACTTGTAAAAATGAACGGAGAAGGTGTATCCCTATTTACTTGAATTCTCGCATCTGGTGTTAATTTTAATCGAAATGTGTGTTACACGTGCACGCTTACTGGTTAGCCTAGAACCTTAAACATGTGGGATGTGCTCCCACCCTCACATGCTCCCATCTTTCCAAAAGCACATTTAAATGTTTTAGAAATAAAAATAAATAAAAATCGTGAATGTTCACAAGACATGTGTCTACAATCCCTAAAAACTCATGCAAATTTAAAATAGCGATGGAGAAAAAAAATCTAGATATGAATAGTGCGGTTTCTTGAAACGTTACAATTTGTTTTATCAAAGTTGGAGCATGCATTGTACCTTATATTTCCTCGTTTGTACATAGCTGAAACAGGAAGGAATGTGTGTGCCAGCCATCTCTCTGGTAAAGCATGCATCAGGCCAATGATTCTGCCCTACAAAGCACGGACACACACCACGCTAACACATCTTTTGCAGAAGCCGCAGCCATCATATTCATCCGCACCAGAAAGAGAAAAAAGATCCATTGAACTCATCGATCCACGAACCGAACACGCAACGACCATTCGTCCATCATTTTGCTTTCCAGGGGAAAAGGATCCTGGATCCCACATTGTGCTTGGGGATGCAGGAAGGAGATCACTCCAAATTCTCAAACACAACAGACGTACTAGTACACAGAAGAACTGAAACATACACAAATAATGGAAATGTGCAGTAGATATTATATAAAAAAAACACAAGAGATCCTTGTTGTAGGCAGCAAGAGCAGCTTGTGCAATTTGGCGCTGCCCAATGTGTACAAGTACAACAACGTTGCTGAAGAAGAACGGTCAATCAACAAGAGCTAAAACATAAGAGGTTCCACACTAGCTGTTTCCAATCACCGCAGTTCTTTGTCACGACCCTAAATCATCCTAAACCCTAACCCAGGGCTTCTCCCAGATGCTCGGTAATTACAGGTTCTGGGTCATGGTGTATTAGCTCCCCACTAAATCGAGACCAGAGGATGACACCGCTAGTTAGTTTAGTCAGGTCTCTTTGCTCTTGCCCTTTTTACTGGTCTTGGATGACTTCTTGTCCTGGGTCTTGGTGGAACCCAGGTTTACCCAGGTGTAGTCGCTGGGGATGGTGAAGGGGTCGGTGTTGTCCGCGACCTGCGACAGGTTCACTGGCTTTGCTCTCGAGTTCTTGGATGTCCACCTCAGATACGAGCTCTTGTGGGTGTCTGGCTTAGGCATGATGGACCCCGGACCTGGGCTCGCCAGCAGGCTGGGGCTCGACATCGGCGTGAAGAACTCCTCTGGCTCTACCAGGGGAACAAACTTGTTGAAGGTGATGACTACCCTCACAGTCGGAACAACAGGGATCGCAACCTGCATCAACAACAGAGTCATGAATTAGCACTGAATCGCAACCGAGAATCATCAGTTAGCCAAACTGAATTACACCATCTCTAGTCCATAGCTGCATCCAACTAATTCTTATGACTATTGCCATAGGCAGCGCACCGAATCCATTGTGTGTTTCGAGCAATACATTCTTCAGAAGCAAGATGATGCATAGTCTTCAGAACACGCTAATGGAGCAAAAGGATATTTGGGGAAGTGGTAGTGCATCTACTACTGAACTCCCCATTGATCAAACCTGGAAATTGCCTGCTCCAGGGCAATGCACCATGCAGATGAGCATCTGAACTTATAAATTGTTTCCCTACAAACTGTCGAGCTTTCACTGCATATGCTGCCCCTAGTTGCTGTTCTTGATGCTACAAACAGCTAGATAGTCCCAATAGCAGATCATTCATTAATTATTTTGCTTGATTCAGATAACTTCTAAGTGTTGAAATTGCTCCTTCACCATGTTAAATTGCTACAAAGGACTTATAAATTCTTGTCAAATTTGCACAACCAGTAAAACTGAGCAAGTTGTTTGCGAAGAAACAGTAGTACCAGAACTTGGGTTGCCTGCCGCTGGAGCAGCAAAGTAGACTGAACGTTACCTTCACAGGGAATGTCCCAGTCGGGAACTTGGTGGTGAGCAGCTCACGGAGGCGGCGGACGGCGCGCACACGGGTAGCCAAGATGTCCAGCAGGGGCAAGAACTCGTCGACGCTCAGCGGGAAGTCCTCTGTGAGCCACACGGTGGGCCGCAGTGTCTTCACCGTCTCCTCCTCCTTCCACTTGGCTCCCCCGGTCGTCGCGTTCCGGCTGAACACGCCATCCTCGCCGCGGCCCACCGATGCACAGGTTGGCAGCCGTCGCGGCACGTCCACGCTGTTCCTCCTCCTCTGCGGCGTCCCCATATGCGAGGGTGGTCCTGCCACGCTGCGCCGGCCAGGCACGTAGCAGCTGCGCCGTGGCGGGGGCGGGGGGATGTCGGCGACTAAGAAATCGCCGTCCTCGTCGTCATCCCGGATCTCCAGCGGCAAGAACTCCTCGTCGTCTTCTCCGGCAAGCTCGAAGGTCAAATCCTTGCGACCGGTGCTGGCTGCCTTGAGCGTGCGGAAGGAGAAGACGACGTTGTGGACGTCGAACACCCGCGCCTTCCACTCCCCAACGCTCTCCGTCTTCTCCTTGCGCAGCCACGTGGTCCTCGGAACGAGCCTCGCGGAGGTGATGTTGAGCCCCGGCCGGTAGGCGGCCGCGTCGGAGGTGGCCGCATCCTCGTCCCCGGCGGCGGCGGCGGCGGCGAACGCGTCATGCACCTCGCGCTTGCCGCGGTGGAGCACAAGGAGCGATCCCGGGGGGAGGCGGCGGCCGCCGGCCTCAGTCTCCTCCCCGAAAAAGAGGAAAGAGTGGTCAGCCCGCCGAATGCGGAGGCCGTCGAAGCCGGCGAGGGTGGTGTCCGCACGCAGGTTGGCGCCGCGCTTCCATATCCGGTAAGTGTCCGACGGCGCGGCTCGCGAGAGGAGCGGCACGACGGAGCTCTCGAAGTGGAAATCCACCTCGAGGTAGAAGTCCTGGACCCGGCGCAGCGCGGCGGAGAGCGCGGGCGCCCGGCGGCGGAGCTTGGCCCAGGCCGCCAGCCGGTGGGCGCGGAGGAGGAGGGCCGCGATGTCCTTGCACCCCAGGCAGAGCGCCTCCTGGAGCGGCGTCCACCCGGCGTGGTTCTGGAGCGTGGGGTCGGCGCCGGCGGCGGCGAGCGCGGAGGCGAGGGAGGGGAGCCTGAGGCGCACGGCGAGGTGGAGCGCGGTGTCCCCACCTGGCACGTCGCGGCGGTCGAGCGCGGCGGAGACGGAGGCCGAGAGGCGGGCCTCGCGCGCGGCGTCGGCGGCGGAGAGGATGCGGGAGGGGTGGGCGAGGGGCGGGAGGCCGGCGAGGATGGCGGAGAGGCCGGCGGCGTCCCGCAGCGCGACGCAGTGGTGCGCCGGGCTGTGCGCGTAGTCGGAGGGCCGGATCGGCGCGGAGGACGTGCGCTTGGGTCGCGCCGCGGCGGGGAGGGGCATGGGGGATGGGTCCTGAACTGACATCGCCCGCTCTGCTCCTGGTCGGGGATAGGAGCTCTCCTCTTGGGATTCTCGTGTTGGGTTCTCTTCCTCGGCTCTGGGGGTGGGGTGCGGGGAGCTATCCTCCGCGAGAGTGCGTGCGTGGGGATCGAGTGGAGTGGAGTGGGGAGCGGTGGAGGTTGGGACCGTTGGGTGGTGAACCAGCTGGGGAAGAAACAAGAAACACGAGAGAGTGGTGTCGAGGATGGGCTAAATATGGACCGGGCCTAGCCGGGCTCATGTCTTCATGTACTACCATCATCATCAATTAGTGTAGTCTGTTCTAAACAAAATCAATCAGTGTAGTTTTGCTCAATTTTTTATCAGTGTAGTATGACCTAAAAAAACAATGAGTCTAGTACCACAAAACAAGTTCACTATTACATATAAGAAAATAAAACTCGCTAAAATATTGTGTGGAATTTGACAGAAAATTCTCCAAATTTTGGATACACATGTGGGTCATGTGCTACAACCACTCTCCAAATAACCCTTGTGTTATTCGCAAGACCTGAAACGCAATAATTGAAATACTCTGCATTAGCGTCCGTTAAAGATATAGTAATGATATCCCTAAAAAAAATGCAATAATGGTATTCCGCGAACGTTTGCTGGAGATGCATGCCAAAACGGATGTTTTCACAGCATTCATGTTGCGGTAACATGGCAAAATTTTCAAGTGAACACCGTAATTTTTACAAAAATATCAACATAGCCAAGTCGCTTTGAAGAATTTATCATAAAAATGTTCGCAAATGGCATACCTCTCAACAAACATTCGTTAGCTATTTGAGATTTGGGATCCTAAAGACAATGTTGTTGTAAGCGGAAATTGTTGTCGCAACGGCGGTTTCACACAGCCGTGCGAGCTGCGCTTCCATACACACTTCTTCTTTATTTTTTGCAAATCCAGCCTTGTGGCCGCCCAAACAATGCAATGCAAATGCTAGTACTACTACTTTAATGCTTTTAAAAAAGAGGAGAGAAATGTGACGTACAAACACGTGTAGCACCTCTTCCTGGTGATGTAGATTACACACAACAGCAAGTTAGTCGCGTACGTGACAGGTCGTCCGTATGTGTGTGGGCAAGAATTTTGTTGCTTAGTGCCAAAGTGTACCCCTGCTTTCTTTCTTTAAGTAAACCAGTCAATTGATGCGCAGAGAGTCCTGATGTAGCTTTCCTACTATTTTTTTTCTTTGAAAAGAAGGACAACACTGCCTCTACATCGAGCGATACACACGTTCGTCTTTATTATGTTATTCAATATAGTATGACAAAATAAGTGTAAAGATCAATCCAAAATCACTTCCAGACGAACAAAGTTGCTACATCTACAAGTATGATGTTATGCCCTGACCGCACCAATGCATAACACCTAATCCAGTGGCCTCGGAAAGCCACCCATTGATAAGGCCAAAGTATCAACTGATCTAGGCGACTAATGTCTACTACACAATTTTTATTTTTATAGACGTTTTTGGGCCTCAAGTGTAGAGTTTTATATGACAGTATCAAAATTTTCTCTAGTGAATGACCTAAGTTTTATCAATCCATGAGAGGCATAGGATGAAGATGGTCTCTCTTAAACAACCCTGCAATCAAATACAAAAAATCTCTTGTGTTCCCAACACATTTAATATAATGATAAATTGTATAGTACATTAGTTCGGCGAAGAGATGGTGATACAAGTGTAGTATGGATAGTAGATATAGGTTTTTATAATCTGGAAATATAAAAACAACAAGGTAGTAAGTAATAAAACGGAGCACAAACATGTTGGATTTCGGCTTCCGGCAAAACCCTTGAGGTTCGAACACTGGGGTGCGCACAAAGATCTCTCCCCCCTCTAGCTCGCACACTCCGCGATCTCACGGCCTAACTCGACGAACCCAAAGAACACGAGACACAAGATTTATACTGGTTCAGGTCACCTTTGTGGTGTAATACCCTACTCCAGTGTGGTGTGGTGGATTGCCTCTCGGGCTGAGGATGAACAGTTACAAGGTAAGAACAGCCTCTTGAGGAAAGGTGTTCTTGTGATTGGTAAACTTGTGTGGTTGGGGATGATCTGGATCCGATCGGCCTCCCTTGCTATGGTGGTGGCTAATTCTATTTATAGAGGTCCTGGTCCTCTTCCCAAATATTGAGCGGGAAGAGATCCCACAACGGCCAAATTCGAAGGGAGACAACTAGTACAAGTTATCCTGACAAAAGTAGTCTTCGCCTATCAAAGGCTCTGGCGGTGACGCCGTCTTGGGGTCCACGGTGACCTCCGTCCTGCTGTCCTGCTGGTCCTGGTCTTGTTGTATCAATATGGTAACATTTGCCTGATGCCTCGGGACTCCTCGCCTGCGCTTGCCTCTTTAGCACCAAAGAGGAAACGAGGACACTGCGCTGGCTCGTGCCCGCCTGGCTCCAGTTGTCATGGCTTGTGTCACAGAAACCTCGCGAGGTGTCCCTTGCCTTAATCTCTCCGCCCCTCCCGAGCCAGCCTGGTGAGGCCGCCCCTGAGGGAAGAGATCCCACAACGGCCAAATTCGAAGGGAGACAACTAGTACAAGTTATCCTGACAAAAGTAGTCTTCGCCTATCAAAGGCTCTGGCGGTGACGCCGTCTTGGGCTCCACGGTGACCTCCGTCCTGCTGTCCTGCTGGTCCTGGTCTTGTTGTATCAATATGGTAACATTTGCCTGATGCCTCGGGACTCCTCGCCTGCGCTTGCCTCTTTAGCACCAAAGAGGAAACGAGGACACTGCGCTGGCTCGTGCCCGCCTGGCTCCAGTTGTCATGGCTTGTGTCACAGAAACCTCGCGAGGTGTCCCTTGCCTTAATCTCTCCGCCCCTCCCGAGCCAGCCTGGTGAGGCCGCCCCTAAGGAGGTCTTGTGTCGTCCGCCTCGCGAGGCTTGGCCCCTCGCGAGGGTCTTGAGTGCTTGCTGGTGAAGATGGGCCATATAGGGCCGCTAGTGGAGCCACGCCGCGGGCCGCAAGCAGGCAAGTCTGGGGACCCCCGTTTCCAGAACGCCGACAGTAGCCCTCGGGCCCAAGGCATGCTCGGGCTTGGCTTCAAGGCGAAGCCAAAGGGCAAGTGCGGAGCGCCGCGGGCCCCAATAGCCTGCGGCATCGGTTGACGCGTGGCGATCGATTGGACGTGGGCGTCTCCGCTTCCCCATGCTGCCTCGGCAACTGCTCGATTTGACGAGTCCTTGCTACATGCAGAAAAAGATCATTATTACCTAAGATCGTGGAGGCCAGCGGTTGGCCTCCCCTTGGCTATAAATGGGAGGGGGCGAAGCCCCCGTCACCCATCTCTTCCTTTGCTTCTCCCGCTTCTTCATCTTTCTTGCTCCACTGCCGGCAGCGACACCCATGGCGCCTGCGAAGAGGCTCTCGGCTGCGGAGAAAGAGAAGGCTCGCCAGGAGGGGCCCGGCTCATCGCCGCCCAAGAGGGGGCGCGGCTGTCCCCGCGAGCACACTACGACTCCTGCCGCGGCCCCTCGCGGCCGCAGTGGCGTCTCTTCGTGTGGTGGCAGCCGCCAAGGTCGTGGCAGTCCCATTGATGAGGTGAGGCGTGCCGTGGTTTTGTGGCCTCCTCGGTCGCGCTTCCATTCGGTGGAGGTGATGCCGGAGTTCATCGTGTGGTCGAAGAATCCGGCTGGCACCTAGCTTCAGCTCCCGCGGTTCTTTGTCGGCGAACTGCCGTCCGCAGGTCCAGGCGGTCTCTGGCTGCAGGCAGACGGTTGTTGCAGCAGGGCTTCGTGGGTCGCGGTGGAAGTCACCACCGCGGGCAACGCGGTCTTGGCCCACGGTTGGCAGACGCTCGCCCACGCACGCGGACTGGGCAGGCGGTGTGCCCTCCACTTCAAGTACGACAGCGACGTGACCCTCGTTGTGAGGGTATTTGGGGAAGATGGTCGCCGCGTCGGGTGCTGCCCCGAGGACAACGATGGCGACGAGGTGCTCGGCCTTGGCGATGGTCGTGACGAGGATGAAGGTGGCTTCTTCCTCGGCGCTGGCCATGGCTCGTCCAGATACGGCGACTCCTTTTCCGGCGACAGCTCCAGCAGTGGCGGCTACGACCAGCCGCCGCGCCCGCTTCGAGGGTGGCAGCGGGTCGATTCATCGCCGTGCTTCGGTGAAGCGTGAGGAGGGGTCTGGCTGAGCTTAGGAGAGCGCCACGGGCCCGTCCTCACGACCTGCTGCGGGAGCACGTTCTGCTTTTGTTTCATTTTTCCTTTCCTTCCTGCATTAAGAGAGAGACAAGTATGGGGCCCCGCTGGGGCATGCAACAATTATGATTTCCAAGTGGTTGTGCTATTTTATCATTCCTGTGTTGTGTTGCAGCGTCATGTTTTATGTATGCGCGTAGGAATAACTTAGCGTGATGCGCCTGGAGTAGATTTCGCCTCGCGAGACGCGTGTTCCCTAATGCCTGACGAGGACTCCTGTGCTCGGAAGGCGCCTGAGAACTGCAAAAATTTGCCAGGAAATTCTTATCCTTCTAGATCCTGGTCGAAGGCACTGCCGGTCATGACCTAGTTCTTCGTATCACGGGATCCGGGGGGCACGGATTGAGGGGGGTGCGCCAGCTTGCAAACTCGAGCGACGGTACCTTGCGAAAGACAGGAAAACAAAAACGCTCATGAGGGCACCTGTCCAGCCCCCTCGCGAGGCACGCGAGGGAGAGTACATGTCAAAAACTAGGAACAGAGAGCAGAAAGGAGGCAAAAAGGCAATGGAACCAGGCCAGCAAGGAACACCAGAAAGCAAATTCTTACTAAAGAGGGGCGAACCAACTACGGAAAGCAAATAAAAAGTCGCGTCCGGCACCTAGTCTAGTCTTCTTGTCTTCTTACCAGCGCGGAGCTAAGTGCTGCCACTAGTCGTGGGAGGAAGCCCTCGAGGCCCGAGGGTGGCACTCCTGAGACTCCGGGGTGTGTACAGCCACACTCATTATTACGTGAGAGTGTCACAAGCGGAGATT